GTCCAAGTCGTTGATTGGCTTTATTAACTTGACCTTCAATATGCTTAGAAAATTTCAACTCATTGTCGATATTAACTCCTAAATCCTTTTCCGTTGTCGACTTCGACATCGTCACTCTGTCGTTGCAACCGTGTCTTCTCATATTGTAATCTTGCTGTTCATTATTCTTGCCAAGGTGGATAACTTTATGTCAAAGAATGGAAGAAAGTAATAGAAAAGAGAGTGAAATTGTGTGGTCTAAGAGTATGGAAGCAAGGAATGGAAAGAAAGGACAGCCTGAGATTGTAAAAGATGAAAGAAATGCCAAGGTATGAATATATATATGATGGAAGTAGAGGTGGAGACTTAATGTTCTGTGTGAGAGCAAATGCGTTGGGTGTGAATGCACGGACATACAGGTGGAATGATAGAAGAGAAGACATTTGCTTTATGTGTGACCGAGGTGAGAGGGAAACTGTGGAACATCTGATGATGGAGTGTGATGCATATGAGCAGGAGAGACTGGAAATGATGAGAGTGATACTGGATGAGAGGAATGAGGGTGATGGTGTGATGTATGAGCGAAAAGGAGATGAATGGATTGCAATGATAGTGGGACTGTCAACGGGGGTAACTGCTGCTATGATTGAGAGTGGAGAGCGATTTTTGGAGAGTGCTTGGAGGGTTAGGGAGAGGAGGAGGTTGGCTAGAGTGGAGGCTGGGAGGGTGTAAGAAAAAAGAAGCAATAATAATAATAAAATTGAAATAACCAAACCATAATAATATCGCAAATAGTAATTCAGGGCCTATGAGGCTCCATAGCTAATATAATTATCAAATACACAGTGCAATAATTGACAAATAGCAATAATAAACCAATGAATTTCCCCTTGAACTTCTCTTCCCCTTGATTACTTCTCAACCTTAACACAAACTTTCACACCTCTTCTCTTTAATGTTGCTTCCACCTGGCTTGGTCTCCCTTTCTTTTTCTTACTAACAAATGAAAATGTGATGCGTGGCTGATGGCCGTTGCAAAGGCCTGACCCTGAAATTCTTTCTCTCAGAGTCACCACGCCCCAAATCCAAATCCAGCTTTTACGTCTGAACCCCTAATTAACATGAATTTCGGAAGTTTTATTTGTGTGGGTTAGAAAGCTAACGGATTCATGTTGATGACAAGCAATCATTCGTAAACATTTTGTGTATAAATAAATTGGCCATTTGCTGAACGCCTTCAAAAAAAAATTTATTCGAAACGCATGTGCTGGTGTTGAGCACGTGTTTAGATTGTGAGTAAATTATTCGAGCTCACACAACACGCTTCGCGGAATGCGGATTGCGGTTGGTTTCGTTTGGTCACTCGTTGAATTGAGACTTGATGTCTTGATGAGAGAGTCAGCTGCGTTCATAATAATAATAATAATAATAATAATAGCGGTTTCAGCGTTTATTAGGCCGTGGGCCTGTCGCCGATTCTTAACATCGCAGAACATTCACAGCATTTTGCGGTCTCTAACTCGCAACTCGCTGCTACAATTCTGCTGTGCTTAACCGCCCGGCCTCCTTGCCGATTCTGACCAGAAACTGGCGCACTTAGCTGGGATCGAACCCGCGCCTCTCTGCGCCAGTATCTTGGTACTCTGAACTTTAACCACTGGGCCACCCTGCCCACCATACATACGGTAAACACCTTACGATTGTGCTCTGTACCCGTGAGAGTGGCGTTCATGCAGTAAACATCAATTGATTTTGCTCAGATTAACGTATCAAAGTCTATTTGTGACTAACGTGATTATCGTGAATATTCATATTACCGTAAACCTTTTTTTTTTTTATCTCCTGGGGGGAGGTAACTTTAGTGATAAGGTGTCACAGAAAATCTCTCAATTTTTCAATGCATTTATTTTAAAGTCAGGTAGGCTAAGTGATTTAGATGAGCGCCTTGCAAAGCTGTATGTATGGAAGCACGATAGAATTGTTAATGCATGGCTACTGCTGATATATGTTTTGATTTAGCAAGTAGATCATCTAGGT